CAGATGAAGAATATGCGTGTATGTACACAGTTTTACTATTTGTATTTTAGGCCATATTGATGAAAAGTATGATGTTGCTATATCAACGGCAATCGGTGGCTATTTGGATTATCGAGTTGTAACATTTAATGGTGAAATTATTTGAATATCTGGTACAATTAGTGGTGGTGGTATTTATCAAAGTAAGGGGAAGATGAATTTGAAAAACGCCATGGCAACATCGAAAAGAAATACAATTGTTGATCCAGCTAAAAAAGGTCAATTAGAAAGAAGAGTCAAAGAAGTATGTAAATCTGTTTGTTTTAATAATTGTTTACTTGATTTCTTTCTACTTTAAGGATGAAAAAACATTGGCTGACCTAATAGTAAAGCATCAACAATTAAATAGTGATTTAGCACAATTGAAACACAAACTTGATGATGAAAAACGAAATTAAAATCAATACAAAAACGAATTAAACGTGAGTCTTGTGAGAATATGCCACAATATATCGATGCATTAAAAGCAGCTGTTGAAAAACAACGAAAGTTATTAGAATCTAAAACCGTGAATGTTAATGCAAGACAAAAATATGATGATGAAGTCAACGTATGTCTATTTGTAATACTAGTATCTTTTTCATTGTCTATCTTTGTGCTCTTTTAAATCTTAAAGGAAAAAAAAAGTGTTAGCTTGTTCTCGTGACACAGATTATGACGGCATCTTAACGAAAGTTGACATATTAAAAAATATACAAGACTAAGATCAAAATTGCAGAACAGAACAGAACAGATTTTTGTAAAGCGTATTGACTCCTCTATTTATGATGGCTATATGTGATATGTATCATAGATCTCATCTTTCTTTTATTTTTCTAGAATTCGATGAAGCTACCAAAGAAGCAGAAGAACTAAAAGCCGTCGTTGATCGGTAATGACATGCGAAAAAATGGTATTGAACTTTAAACTAATGTTATATTTTATTTTCGTTCAGTATCAATAAAAAAATTAATGATCATGATAAAGAGGCATTAGAAAAACCACAAGCTGATCTCGATAAACTAACAAATGATGTGAAAAAATCACAAAATCAAATTGATACAGCAAAAGCTGAAATAACAAATGCTAAACGGTAGGAAGAAAACTCTATTGAATTAAACTATGTTTTGTATATTTGTGTTGTTAATTTCTTTTGCTCTCTAGAAATTTGCAGAAAGCCAAAGATAAAGTGAAATCAAATGAAAATGCAATCAAAGACAAGAAAGAAAAGCATACGCGATTAAATTTGAGAATTGAAGAGTTAGATCAAGAAGTATTAGACGCAGTTGAAAAACGTGCTAATATCGAAGTGAGTCGAATCGAATAAAAATGTTTATCGCTTCTATGGTTTTAAGAGTAATATATCTATCAAGTTTGTCAATTTATTAAACTTGATTCCACGGGCAACTAACTACTAGCGTCCGTCGTTTATCTACAACTATATTCTATGTCTAATGCCCACAATCACATTCATTTTTCTTTTTGTCTGTTCTAGAAAGATTTAGAAAACGTCACAGAAAAAGTAACAATGTTAACGCAAACAATACGTAAAACTGAATCGGATTTGGGAGAAATTGAAAAGGAACTTGTACGTTTGAAACACGAATTTGTCACAGCCCAAAAAGATTTAACCGAATGTCGTCTATAAATACAAGGGATCGAAAATGAGGTATAGACACAAATCTTTTGACGTAAAAATGAATTTAAATGATATTATTATTTATGTTCTTAATTTAGATAAATAGTCTAACATTTAGTAAAATTGACGATGATGTGAATGATGGCGATAGTGCCGAAAATAATGAACCAATACGACAAGTGGCGATCAAAATATATACAATGGAAGAACTTGAACCGTATGATATCGATGATATAAAAGAAGATTTGCATAAACATGAAGTAGAATTGAAGAAAAATCCGGCCAATTTAACTGCAATTAATGATCATCGTCGTGCAGTAAGTATTCCTAAAAATCATAGAAGAGAAAAGGATTTCTATATATTTTATTGTTGTTTATTTTAAGATGCGCAATTTAAAAATCCGTCAATCCGATTTACAAGATTTAGAAAAACGTCGGAGTAATATAAGGGAAAAGCATGATAAATTCAATGATCAACGCCATAAAGAATTTCGTAATTTCGATACAATATCGAAAACATTAAAACAAATATACCGTACAATAATGGATGGTGGAGATGCTGAATTGGAGTTTGTTAGTAGTATGGACCCATTTACAGATGGCGTTGAACTAAGGTAAACTCTTGATTTTATCTTTGATTTTCTTGTTAAGCTTTCTAACATTCTTAACCAGTTTTGTCTCTTTTTGCATCTTTGCTGCACTTGTATCTTGTTGAAAATCGTTTTCTCTAAGAAAAAAGACATTACAAACCGATATTTGTTTTTATTTTCCAGTATTCGTCCACCGAAAAAATCATGAAAACGAATTGCTAATTTATCTGGAGGCGAAAGAACTCTTAGTTCATTGGCATTGGTGTTTGCCTTATACACATTTCGTCCGACGCCCATCTACGTAATGGATGAAATTGATGCTGCCCTGAAATGTGTCCATTGTTGGCAGATTTATTAAACATATATCGTAACAAAACTCTTATGTTTTAAAATGATAATACGTTGCCTTTTTCTTTTTAATTCAATTAGTAACGTACAAAAAATGCCCAATTCGTCGTTATATCATTACGTAATGATATTACTGACTTAACTGATTATTTAGTGGGTATATATAAAATAAACCATTATTCTCAAACAGCATCGTTACGACCATCGTTGTTTGCAAAAAAGGTTCAAGAACGTATTTCAATATGAGCTAAACAATTTTGTCTTATTGTATTTAGAACTATAGTTTCATTGTATGTTGTTCAATGAATCTTTTTAATATAAATTAATAAGTAAAAAATTTTATAAATAAAAACCTTTTTTTATTTAATAAATCTTGATCGATGTTTGTTGTTGTTGCACTGAGGGAACTGCAATATAATTTTTCAAGCGCTACGCTTTGTTTTTAAAACAAGTGTTATTTCAACCCCATAATTATAAAATTTAGTTTTTCTCGTGTTGAAAGCACGAGGGGAAAAGCCAAGGAGGAAACACCGTACTCCGCCACTCCGCGGAGTGAACTTTCTCTCCGGTTCATTGAGTCACTCCGATGGTGACTATTTTTACTGACCGACTGACTTAACTGACCAAATCTGATTGGTCTATCCGATGGTTACACCAATCAAATTTGGTCAGTAGGGTCGGTCGGGGTGGTCTATAAAAAAAGAAAAAAAGGAAAGGAAAAGTCATTGTCTAAGACAAAGACACATTGTCCTAGACAATGGCTTTTCCTTTCCTTTTTTTATAGACCACCGCGGTCGGTCAGTAAAAATAGTCACCACCTTCACTCCGCAGTGGACGAAGTGACAAGTGGTATACTCTCTTCTCTCGCATTTGATATAAGCTGTTTATTTGAAAAAAAGAAAGAAATCAGCAATTTATACTATCTCTACCCACCGAAAGAGGGACAAGCCCCATTATTATCGGCGATAGAGAAAACAAGAGCTACGCATATTGTGATAACAATAGAAAGATCTAGTAAAAGAAGAAAGAAGACAACAAGATAGCAGATGAAAAAAAGAATGTTGTATGATGATACAAAGAAAGAATAAAAAAAATGAAAAAATGTAAATGATAATCCAGGTCTGTTTTGAGACCAAAAAGCGAGAGAGAGAGGAAAGACAAGGAAAAGAGAAAGATAAACATACTATTGTTCTTCTGAAAAAATTTTTGAAGTATAAGTATACTAAAAAATCATCTTTCGAAACCGTCACTTTAATAGAAGGAGGTCAAGACTGAGGGTAAGAGTGTTTGTTATCGTTGAGTTTTTTTTATGAGAGTTTTTCTTTGAGCGCGATATAACATGCAATCCAAAAGGTAATGCTGAACAGTCTCTATCTCTCCACATTTGCATGAAGTTGTCAAAACCAACGATTTTTTCTGTAAAGCAGCTTTCAAAACAGAAAAGTTAAGCTGAAGTCTACTGTATAACACATCGATAGCTCTCGGGATATTATGAACACGAAAAGTAGAAAAAGAATATCCGCGGTGGGTGAGAAGCTGTTTTTGGAAAGTTTTTGACGACATGATATTTATATGTGGTGGTAGTTTTGATCAAACCTGGGTAGTAAACGGGAAGAAAGATCTATCCGCTATCACTGCATTTGTTGATCGGCTTTCTTCTCAGGAATAGTATGCACAGCATTAATGAATGCTAACAATCTAAGTTCTTGAAAGAAGTGATAATCATAGTAGTTAAACAATAGTTACTTCCATTATATTGATTTTAAGAAATACAAAACACGCACATAAAAAGAGAAAAACAGTCAAACACATACGTTGTTTATTCTTTTCTACTTGTTGCTATGACTCTCGATAGCCGATCAGATGGTAAACGATTGTTATTTTGTGTTAATATAATCAGCAAGCAGTGGTTTTATGTATATATTTACCTGCATTATTAATTTTTATCGTAAAGTATGAATTTTCGGCACTGGGTAGGACAGATTCGACTATTCTCATACCTGAGAATGTTGTATTTCTCACTTGCGCAAAATGATGCAATGGTATTTTGTCATCATCTTCACCCTCAAAAATATTTTCACTTTCATCATCCTCACCATAATAATCATTGTCTTCGTTTCCACTACTACTGCATGTATCTGATTCATTGTCAACGTCATCAGCAATCATTGTGTTATCAGTTACATTGCTTGATGATCGTAAATTATTCGATATATGCGGACAACTGTTTTAATGTATAAATTCTATTTTGCTTTAATAATTTACACATTTCTAAATTATCAATTAATACTTTTGTTGTTTCATACGCACTTAAAATAATTGTTTCTACATCATCTGTTGTTACATTATCGATATTGTTATGATTGCTATTATTTAAATTTCGATTGTCTTTCAAATGTTTGTGATGAATTGGAAATAATAAATGATTTGCATTATCGTTGGCTGTTTCGAAACATTTAATTTTATTTTATATGGATAACTTTTGGGCACGCTTAAGAAAATCCTTAACTGTAAAAATAACTATTGTTGAATATACTCCACTCAATGACCTTGTATTGCGAAAAACGGACTCACAAGGCTGAGAACTGAATAAATGAATACTGTTTACTGTGTCTTTCGGTATTTTGTTTTCTAATACTAACATAATTATGTATAATAAGTTATGACCATTAATCTCAATAGAATAGTGCGCTGCATTAGTGATAAAGTGTTTTTCTATTATTCGTTTATTAGTGGTACTGCAGTACAATGTTAACCAAGCCAATAACTTTAAGTTGTTTCGAGTAACATTCATCATGTATAAATACCCATCTACGCCATATATCATTCGATGTAAATTTACTACTTGTACCATATGCTGATAATAAATAAGGTGACGAGAGAGCTGAATTTATTGTGATGGGTTGAAACATATGTACATTCAATATTTTGAGCTTTTTCATAAGTTGAAAACTAGTTTTTCAGTTCATCGAATGAATCTGTCTGAAAATGTTTGCATGATGGTAAACCGGATATCAATCGAAAATCCTATAAATGTATTTGTTGCTGAATCATATTCTATTTTTTGTATAACACCTGTACAGTCTTCAGACATAAATCCATAACGACAATCAATTACACTTGCATGTTTCAATAAATGATCTATTTGAAACTTACCTTCTTCAATTACATTCTCATTGTTATTCGATGTTATTTTTTTCAACGTAGTTAAACTTGGGAGTGCTTGACTAATATTCAACCGAGTGAATTCATATGCATTCTTACCACCGAGTATAAATAACGACAGCGCAAAATTTAGCATTGTCTGATTATATCTAACATTATTTTTTGGACATTTTAAATTCGATGTTATATTATTTATTAATGTTGTTAAAAATCCTTCTTGATGCTTATTCAGGGAGATAGTACTAGTTTTATAATAGGAAATTAATGCTTTCAATAATGGATGTTTAATTATTAATTCGTTTAATGATGACGAACTTTCATTCAGTTTTGTTCGTTGTTCATCTTTTAGTTTTAATATATTTGTAAGATAGTTTAGTCCATTAATAATTCCACATTTGATGATGTACGTCCCATCTGATAACATAAAACATGATTTTTTCTTTATTTCAATTAAATCGGAACAATCGTAGTTAAATAATTCTACTACATTATTGGTATGCAATAAAGATTGAACAGAATGTATTGATTGAATTTTTAATATTGAAAGCACATTTTCTCTAGCTAATTCATTGACTAAATTGTAAAATTTTTCATTGGAATATAACAGAACGTCATCATGTACTAGAGGCAAATGATAATATTCCATTCTAATATGAAATGTACATAGAATGAGAATCAAATAATAAAAAGATTTCTGAAATGACAAGAACACTGTTCTCTGATCACCATTCATCAATTGTCATTTTTATATATTTACAATGTTGTGTTTCAGTTGGAGATGCTAAAGTTGTTGAGATATTTGAAGATGCGGTGGTAATGGATGATCATGAGATGGATTCTGCATTATCCGATGGTAGTGCTGTCTAAATTTGTAAACGTTTGTCTTTTGAATGTGTTGCTTTACTGTGTTCATCACATTTCTTTTTAAATAATTGAATCAAATAATTATAACTACTTTTAAAACCTTCTTTAACAACAAATTTACCATCACATAATTTAAACGTTATTCTGCTACGAATATTGTTGACATCGTCACAATCCAACTTTAGAACTTCAAAAATATCATTCACTAATAGCAGCGATAGAATATTTTTAATAGCTTGTAATTTAATTAAATCGGATATGTCGTGACCAACTAACTGATCGATAATCTCATAAAATCTGTTATTATTATACGTCATAATATCATCTTGTAATAGACTTGAATCAAGAAAAAGTTTGGAAGACATAATATTTAGCTAATAATAAATCGAAGGAGGAGAAAGTCAAAACAGAAAGAAAACGAAAAAGAAAAGGGAAAGACTTACCAAAATCGTTTAATAATTGGTTTTTCGATTTTTTTGTGTACGGAAGGTAAAAATAAAGCGAAAGGCGTAGAAAAACGAATCAAAATAAATGATAATAAGTGTGTACCAACGTTGCTTGATTAAATAATAAGAAAACTTTTTTTGTAATTTTATTTTTATTTTTAATAGAAAAACATATGTATTTTATAAATCTGACGGAGACTTTTAAAAACAGAAAACGAAGAATGTACACAAGAATTTAAACGCGTTTTGAACTATCTTCATCAGTAAATGCTCGTAGAATGGTGACTGCTATTAGAATAAATGCATCTTATATACATTTTCTGAACAAGCACAGTAGAAAGAGAGAGGCGAGTAGACAAAAGAAACGAAGATATTATTTCAAGGGAGAGTGAAATTTATGAAAGAACTTTCTGAAAATGGCGAGATGTTTTCAAAGAGAGAGTGAAATTCTCTGCAGGCATATAAAGATGTTTTTCAAGAGAGAGTGAAATCGTTTTTGTTATTACGGCGCTCTGACAGAATATATAACCGAAAAATTACAGATGATATATCTACAGTAGAGTTTATTTTTCATGATGTTAAATCATGCAGTGGGGAAAGATCAATATCGGTAAGTCTGGGATACATATATTATTTTTAGAAACAGTATTTTTTGTAAAAATGGAAGAATTTTGGAGAAAACTTATTGGGCTTATATTAAAAAGTCTCTGAAAACGCTTAGATTTTGGCAAAAAGCTGGGGTTTAGAGGCGGGTCAAATTTGATCACAACGAGTGATCGGAATAGGGATCTCTTATGCACATATTACTTAGTCATATTACATCGAATGATGTTCGTGAATTGCATGTACAATAAAGAGGTGTGTTTTCCGCTGACAAAAAAAGGAAAAAGCTTTTTACATGTGGTTAAAGAAAAATGGGGACTTTGTCGATTTTAGGTAAGAAAATGTTTTGGAGTGGATATTTTGGAAAGCGTAGTACTAGGGGTGTGGTTGAAAGGTTTTTGCAATACACAATAAATAGGTTAAACTGTAAGGTGCACGCAACTCAAACTTCAAGCTGAATTTTTTTCCTAGTTAAATCATACGTGGTTGAATAGAGCGCGATGACCTGAGTAAGAAAAAAGTAGTTTTTAACTTTTGCAAAAAGTGCTATACAGTTGAAAAATTTGAAAGATCTTTTTTTCATCTTCTTCAAAGCCGTTAATTTTCCATAAATTTCATTTTTCTCCATTCAGACTTCTTTTCAACCTTTCAAACTATATTTTTCAGATTCAGCATTAAAATCTGAATATAGAACTGATATTTACTTGACTTCAAACTCAAAATTCTATGAGCATGGCTTCAGTGATCAGATCATCAAAAATGGTACATGTTTCTTTTGTAGATCTATCTAGGTTTTTTTTGTGAAGAGATGAAGCCGACCTTTTTACTTCATTAGAACTGCTATTGTACGAGCATTAATAGTATGCATCGCCTTTTTCTCCATTTTACTTTCCTACTGAGAAAATTCATTTTTTCTAAATTAGGAGCGAAAAAGTAAAATTTTGCCCTTAATTCACTGTTTTCTTCATCAGAACTCAACTTGTATGTAATTAAAACATTATATTCGGAATCAACGTCGAAAACTGAGTTGAACGATGTATGTTTCACAAGTTTTCATTGATTTTCATTTTTCAGTAAAAGTCTTCGTAATTTTTCGATGTGAAATTAAGTTACTTGTAGAGCTTAATTTTAAATAACACCACAAACTCCATTTACTCCAGGGTCACTCTGTTACTCCGTCCACTCCGGTTAAACTCCGCGGAGTGCCGGAGTTAGCGGAGTACGATGTTTCCTCCTTGGGAAAAGCACACTCCGGCACTTCAGCCACTCCGCGTAGTAAAGTACACTCCGTACAATAAAGTTTTCTTAAGTCCACAGCACGCCGAACCACTCCGAGTCACTCCGGGCACTTCGACACTCCACGGAGGGGTGGAATGCGCTTTCCCTCCCCTTGACATGGATGCTACACATTGTTGTGTGTGCTGTCATTGTGTTATCTTCGTCATGGAAATGATAGTGTCTACGTTAACTATCCATCCGTTATTATTTTATCTATATTTTTTGCATCGTTTATAATCGCAGCTTCGTTTATATTTCGAAAACTACGCAAAGTAGCATATAAACCAATAACAATCGTTACATCAATCACAAACTCGACCACTTTAGCAGCATTATTGACTGATACAATGTTGACTGACGCTGTTATTATAAATAAAAATTATTGTTTATCTCACTCTTATCGTATTGGTATCGCATTTTTTGTTATACAAATTATAGCAATGATCATTCAGGTTCCTCTTGCTTCATAGGCGGCGCAAGTTAAAGTTCCTAGAGTAGCAATAAATTTTTTAAACTCATAATTTTAATAAATAATAACAACTCCCAGAATATGTGTTATTAGGGGTAGCAATAACTTTCTATTGCTACCCCTAATTTTCCATAGGGGTAGCAATTGCTACCCCTCGCTACTATGGCGCGCCGCCTATGTCTTGCTTGCCTTATACTTGCACTAGGTGTTAAACACAAAGCACTAAAAGAAATTCATATAAATAATGCAATAAATATTCATGGTGATTATATTTAAACATACACTGGAAAATACATTTGGCTTTCAAACGACAGTAGTGGTATGAGATCAGACACGTTAATTTACAATTAACAAGTAATTAATATAATCAATTATCATTTAAATTGCCGGATAATTTAAGGTGCCGGAGATTCGGAAACTCAGCAGGTTCTTCTGACAATTTTTTATACATGGTTGGGTAGAGCACGTCGAACTGATTCCGAACATATGTTTTGCTGTCTGAAAGTATTCCTTTCGTGTCGAAAAACTGAAAATAGTTAAAGGGCCTAAATTTTCGGAAAACGCTTCGGTTTCAAATTCAATTGTTTTTATTTTATTTTTTGCTCTTCAAACATTTCGAAAGTATTTTTTTCAGATGCAGCATCGAAAACTGAGTATGGCAATGATGTTTGATCGAGATTGAAGTGAAAAGTCTGTCTGGTAAAAAGTTCATAACCAGTTTTGCAAACCTAGCATCTTTTATCAGTGAAGAGATGAAACTGAGATTTTTACTTCACTAGAACCGTCATTAAATGAGATTTAAAAGTATAACCGCATTTTTTTATTTTGCTTCGCCACCGAGAAAATTCATCTTTTCTAGATCAGATGTCAAAAAATCGGAGTTCTGTCCATAATTCATAATTATTTCCATCGGAACTCAACATTTATCCAATACAAATATCATATTCGGAATCGGCATCACAAACCGAGTCGAATGGTATACTTTTTCTCCTATCTGACCATTTTAATTTTTGGAATTATGTCGAAAAATCAATCAGATTTTCACCAAAAATAAAAATCAACGGAAAATTTTGAAATTTAGATCATTCGACTCAGCATAGCACTTTTTATCGGTGAAGAGATGAAACCGAGATTTTTACTTCGTTAGAACCGTCATTAAACGAGATTTAAAAGCCTAAACCGCTTTTTTTTTAATGACGGTCTAACGAAGTAAAAATCTCGGT